CCGCCCGCGCCGCCGACCACGCCCCCGGACCACGCCTGTGGCCGCGCCCTCCCAGTCACAGGCCACGCCCCCCGCCGCGCGTGTACCGAGTTTGCGAGGGCTCAGCCCGCGGCGCAGGAGACGGGAGCTGGGGGCGGGAGGGGGCCGGTGACGAGCGGCTTGCACTGCTTGGGATTGGGGGTCCCCCCCCGCCCCACATCCCCAAGGAGAAAGGTGAGAAGTCAGAAAGGTGAGATGCTGTTAAATGAGTTTTTCACTGTAAAGGTAGAATATATTAAAGAATACAGAAAGGAGGGTTTCATTTAAAAATGGTTCATTAACATGAAACAGATCCATTAACTCCTATTCTCTTCAACCATATAATAATTACATGAGCTACATGGTAACTGAATTACCCTTTCCCTTACGCATGCAGCAGTGAGAAGGCCGATTTCTGTTTTCCTGTTTTATACAGAAGTCAGAAAGTATCCAAAAATGCAATGAGACAGCCATGGGCATCTTTTAACTCTGTTTTGCTGTTGCTCCACAGTTGCCCCCCAGCAGAGCCAGGCTCCCACTGCAGAGGAGGCGCTTGCACCCAGCTGGCACCCATCCCTGTCCCAAAAACTGCAGCCCTGGGAGGGAACTTGCAGAGCAGGGTGGGTTTGGGAGTCACTAGGGGACATGACTGCACAGACCCAAGGGAGGATAAACACTTGTGGTTCTTGCCAAAATTATCTATTAAATCTAAGATTTGGGGCATCCAAACCCCACAGGTGCTCAGATCACTGGGGTCAATTGACCACAGCAGTGGCTGTGCAGAGCACCCTTCCTGAGTTTATCAGATCAGAGCATGTAGGAGCTGAAAAAGCAATGTACAGGTGACATAACACAAGGAACTTAAAAATGGGTCTGGATGGTACAGACATCTGTGTACAACTGATACAAGGAGGAGAAAAATAACCGTCTTTGGTGCTTGGAAGAAGCTGCAGCCTTTCGTAACCTTCAGAGCCCAATCCTAGACACCTCTCAACTGAAACAGCTGGCCCATCCTCACCCTCCACAGGGAACAGGTTAGTTAGAAATGTTAAATTAGGCTTTTTACAAAATGCACCTTCTAGGGATACTTCTCCTGGGTGCTTTTCTTGCAGTGAAGCGCACAGTTCCAACAGCCAAAGCTCCCAGGGGTGCAGTAATAACCGTAAAGCAGATCTACAGCAGGACAGACCAAGTTCCTTCCAACTCAAATGTTGTTTTGGCAGCAGCAGTTTAGAAAATGAGCATCAACCTGTGAGCCAAGGGGGCGATGCTGCAGCCAGGTGCTGCCCCAACGTCTCCGCAGCTCAGAGCCCACTGGTTTCTAGGCGTGCATCCAGTTACACTTCAGCCACCCTCAGTTGAGCTGGGATGACTTTAAGGGATACCCCTTTTGCAATGGAGCTGGTCAGAGCAGCTGATCTGCCACTGTGGGCAATGACTTCTTGCTGCAAGGATACATTGGGAAAGCCAGTTTTGTTTCCTCCCCTCTTCCCTTTCCACCAGCCAAGCATTGCTTGCAATTAAAAGCAACCTGCTTTTAATGGGCACACAACAAAGGAGAACATTATTCAAGGCTGGTTCCTAAGTGCCACCTCCTAGAGCTGATTGCACAGCCTGTCACTGAAAACTAAAGCCACAAAAAGTAAAGAATAAGCTACACAGGTATTTAGGTTCTGTTGGTTTTAAACCAAAACACCTATGGCCACACACCACAGCAGCACCAGTAGTCACTGCTTTCCTCCAAGATGAGACCCCCAAGCACCAAATCACTGAAGTGGTCTGAGGTAACACTACACCTAAAACAAAGTGATCTTGATTCATTTTTTAATCCCATCATTTCAGCTCCTGGTAAAGCACAAGACGACAGATGCTCCACTTGAAAGTGATGGTCTCATCTCACCAGGAGCAGCCCGCCCATCTGAACCACTCCTCATGCCCGTACAAGCAGCACGCAGCAGCAGTTCCACTCTCTGAAGTTAACCACATTATTTCCTGTATTTAAAAAACCATCCCAACAAGGACTATCCTTCTGCACATTAAATAAGGAAACTTTTTTTTTTAATCAGCCTTTTGCCACAGCAAACACAAGAGTCCAGATGGCTTTGGAAGAAGCTGAAAGTTTGTTTTCATGAAGCTGAATTTTAGTTAAAAATCAGGACCAGGAAAAGAAAAAAATCCATCCATATTCTCTGTTGGCTTTCAGTGAACAAGCTCTTGGGTTCTTTGTGAGAAGCCTCTTCATAACATAGCTTTGCTTCATGCTTCAGACAAGAAAACAAACATGTCTCTTTCCTTTTATGACAAATCTATCAGTAAATATATTGTAACTAATATCCCAAGGGATTATTTATCTGACTTGGAAAAAATTATGAAGCTAAAGCTCATTCAAGCATATATCTGATTTTTTAAAACAGCTATAAAATAACCAAGTGGGGTGTGCATTAACAGAGCACAACCTCCTTTAAATATGAAGGTTACCAGGGTTGTTTTTTAAATTATGAATACATGTAGGCTGAACACTGCAAGCAAACTCAAAGCCATCACCAAACTAAGCACACCGACCTTGGGCCCAGCAGTCCCATCAGGATTTCCACAGCACAACACTGTTCACCAACTCCTTGAGTAGCTCTGCACATCGATGCATCAGCTGAGATCCTGCAGGTGGAACAGCTGCTCGATGCTGAGTAGCACTGGCCAGGCTGACATGGCCAAGGTGTCACAAACTCAGCTCGTGCAGCAAGAACACGAAGATCTCCAAAGCCCACGTCAGCAGAGAATGGCCCAGCCCGGCGGGCCGCTTGTCACAAGCACCAGAGGTATTTGCACAGCTCCCAGGCAAGTCCACTCACCTCACACCTATCTCTGGGCAGCTACGCAGACTGCAGTCACAGCTCCTCCATCCCAACAGCAGGA